CCCCCAACCTACCCCAGACCCCCCCAGGCTTCAGCTCATCCACAGGACACAGACACTGCACACACCCCTCATTGCTTTATTGTAGGGAGACACCGTGGGAGGGAACCTCTGTCCCCCCCAAAAAACGTTACAGGGGCCACATCACCCCCCTGGGGCACACGAGGACGTGGCAAAGGACCCCAGAGCTCTGGGGAGTCCCCTGCCCCCATCGATCTGGGGACCTCACACCAGGGTTTCAGGGTCCTCCTTGGGGGTTTGGGGTCACCATTCCAGGGTTTGGGGATCGCCACTCTGGGGGCTCAGCCCCCATAGCTCCAGGCAGGGCACTGGTAGAGGAGCTGGAGCTGTGGCTCGTCACAGCACTGGATGAGGACATCGGTGCCCGAGGGTCCCTCATGTCTCATGCTGAGCATCATCCATGTCCCATGCCAAGGGTACCCTCATGTTCCATGCTGAGGGTCCCCCAGAAGCAGATCCAGGTGCCACCAAGCTCAGCTGACATCCCCAGGCTCCAGGCTGGGCCCTGACTCCAGGCTCCCGTTGGCTGCTCCCCCCGGGGCTGGGGGGGCCGCAGTGGTTTCCTCAGCCTGGCACAGCCCCAGGTGACCCTGTGGGGACAGGACAGGGACAGTGAGTGGCTGTGGGGGCACAGGGCCAGGCCTGCAGGGTTTTGGTGTCACTCCCACACGAATTGGCTGTTCCACGGGCACAGGAACAACAACAGACCAGGAGATGGTTCCTCTGGGCTCCTGTTTGAAACCCATGGCTACAGCAAACCAGGGTCTTCAGTCAGAGCCTGGGCTGGGACCCCAGCCCTAAACTCAGCTCCCACCCGTGCAGGGGTGACAGGACAGGGTGGTGGGTGACATCTCCAGAGAGGACACCCAGTGGAGACAACCCAAGGAAGCCTCAGGACCCAAGAGGAGTGACTTTAACTTGTGGTGACAAATACGACTCCAGAGGAGAAAGAACCCTTGGCCTGGGAGAGAAACCCTCTCAAACTCCCCAGCTGGGATCAAAGGGGCTACCACAGCAGTTCAGCCCCCAGCAATATCCCTGTGTCCCAGACAGCTCCCAGGACACCCATCCCTGCACAGGACTGCATGTCACTGGACCACCCAGCAGGGAAGGCCTCAGGGCCATGCTCTGGCTGTCACCCCCCTCCAGAGCTCCCAACACCGTCCAGCCCCAGGGCTCAGCAGAGCTGTGGGACAGGAGCCCCCCAGGCCCAGGGGAGAGCAGAGGTCCTCCCGCTGGGAAGAGCCATCCCAGGGGGCTGTGGCCCCTCCTGG